CCCCAGCTGCCCTCTGGGAAGGAAGGCCAACAGCACAGACTTGCATTTGAGGAATGGGCCACCTCTCTCCTCCTCTGCTGGCCCCAAGGGTTGCCTGTCCCTGCAGCCCTTCCTCCTCAACACAGAGCTTATCCTCTGGGTCTTCTTGACTCCCTGGGCCTTTGGTGACCAGGATGAGGCTTCCAGAGCATGACCACCTTTCTGGTTTTAGAGTGTGGTAAGAAAGCAGCACTTGAGCTCCATTCTAGGCCTAGCTATGCCTCTAACTTGCTGAGTGACCCTGGTCTCCAATCCTTTAGATTTAATAATTCTAAGATAATTCCAGAAATTTCTGAGAAAGGATACTTCTAACATTGGTACAAACTGTAAAAGGTTTCTCTTGGCCTCACCCCCTGCACTCTGTCTTCCCTTCTCTAACTTGCTCCCTGTGGGGCACAGAACCAGCATGGACACTGATACCTGCATGGGGCGCTCAGAGGCCAAGCTCAGTGACCCTGGAAACAGGGGTTGAGGAAGGGGTGGATAATACAGGAGGAAAAATTGAGAAAAGGGAGGACATGTAAGGTAGAAAGAGGAGACTTGGGTGAGATATGGTGCCTAGCCTCAGATATGTGCATTTTTCACATCTACTGTGTAAAGATGTGGGGAGAGGCTAGGACCAGTGGGGGCTGGGGAGATACACATATTTGTGCACAGAGAATTATATTCTGGGAATCCTCTTAGTCAGGGATCCCTGCTTCTACCCCCTGGGCTCCAATGGGGCAGAGCCCTTTCCAGCTGCTTCACTGGACCTGGCAGAACTCCCCAGCCCGCAGGAGCCCAGGCCGCAGATGGGGCCACTTCCAAACAAGGCTTTCTCCACTCAGCAGGCGCTGCTGCCCAAAGGTTTACACTGAGATGTACTTGGCTTCAAACCATTTCATTTTCATATCCTTTAGAAGACTTATAAGCACAAGGCCAAGGCCTTGAACACTTAGCAGGGCTGGGAGAGCTGTTAATACCAAGTTTGTCGATGGCTGCTCTGGGAAGCTGGCCAGGCTCAGGTTAGTGACATTCCAGGAGCCTGAATTGGGAATCCTTATGCAATCACAACCCTCCTGACTTCTAGGGCAGTTTCATCTGTATGAGGAATGCAGGGAAGGTGCAAGGCAAAGGAATTATCTTGAGCATGGAGCCTGAAACACTTGCTTCTTGGCCAGCAGTGTTTGGTTTGCTAGAGGCAATGCCTTCAATGGGCATCCAGCAAGCAAGTAGGCAGGCCTCATTAAAATCCTCATTAAAATCTTTTTCTCTTTTTTTCAAAAACCAAACCCAAAAAAGATCTCTGTACTTTTCACAGACAGGTTTAAACATAGATAAATGGAGCCCAGACCCCCTGCCCCTCCCCCAAGAAAGAACTGCAGGTTTGCTTCTGTGGGATCTGGCCTGGACTTCTGAACTAGAAGTGACCCAAGTCCAGATGAGAAAGTCCTGGGTGAGAGCTGGGGGACTTGCTCTTCCCTTAGTTATTAGACAACAATAAGTTCCAAATTGTCTACTTTCATTTCCTCCTGCTGGAGGCAACAGAGGCCTGAAGAAACCCCAGGCCTGGGTGGGTTTCTCTTACTCTTGCTATGGGGGCTTTGACCACATGAAGGGACAGCAGAAAGATGACACTGAGACCAGGGGAGCATATACACCCAGTTCTTTAGCAGCCCCTGCTGGGTGTGTCTGTCTCATTCCTGTTTCCAGAGGGAAACGGACGTCTTACATGCCCCATGGCGGCACCCATTCTGCCCACACCACATGTAGGCACTTGCAGGAAAGAGCTAGGACTGCCTGCATCTCCACCTGCTGGCCGATCCCCACACTTGCCGTTAAGGGAGAAAGGATTCTAACAGCAGTAGTTCTCAAATGAGGGTCAGAAGCTTGGGGTTTCTGCTCTCTGACTCTTTTCTGACTTGCCCATTTAGGTGGTCCACTGAGGCCTTAGAGGCAGGGTCTGTGCTCCTTTCTGCCCCTGTTCCAGGGCTTCAATGTTGCTGAGGGATGATTCTCATCTATTTCTCTTCTGTGGCTTCTCTGCCCTACTCCCTCACTTAGCATTTACTTGCCTTCAGGACTTTGGTAAACGTTCTTCCAGTGACACCAAAGCAAYAGATGTTTCAGCTGGTTGTGCTGAGTCTAAGAAGGGTCCACCTAGGAGCAGCCAAAGACTGTTCTGGACTTTATTCTTTTGGGGTAGAGCAGTAAGGAGAGAGAAAAGCTTCTTTAAGTTGATGGGACTTTCTAGAAGACACACCTGGTTATGTGAGCTCCTTTGTAGATTGGGAGGTTGTGTCCTGTTTCTAATGGTTGTTAAAGGAGTAAATAAGTCATTTGTGAAAGTTCAGCACCTGCATACAGAAGGCGCTCAAATGCTGATGCTATTGTTGTTGCTGTTATTATTACTATGATTCCATGAGTCATCTAATGTATATGCTCCAAGCAACTAATCCTGGAGCCTCAAGCAGAAGCCACCCCAGCTCCTAACATGTAAAGCTATCGGCTCCAAGGCCCAGTTCCTGGGAGAAGTCCTCTTCTCACTTTTCTACCTTCACATTCCTCCCACATTTCAATTCCAGCTGGCGGTTGGTTTTCTGGGTGCAGGTCACCAGATGCCCTAAGCAGCAGCAAAGGAGTGGAGCTGAGATCCTAAACAGGCTTCTGGGCCTTGGCTCTTCTTGAGGGCTTTCCAAACCCTTTTCTTTGGGATGCCTTTGCTCTTCCTGGGTCCCTTGTCTGCCCCAAGCTTCAGATCTGCAGGTCTAAGCAGGCAGGTGTAGGAAGGAAAGGTGACATATGCATTGCCAATCCCAATAACACAGTGACAAATGGCCTCTGGGGAGGACTGCCTGGGCTCTACCATTCACTGGCTGTCAGCCCTTGGGAAAATCATCTAATCTTTTGGTGCCTCAATTTCTCCATCCAAAAACTGGAGATAATTGTATCTATTTCATAGAATTGTTTGAGGATATCTGAGTTAATAAGTGTACCATGGTTAGAGCCATGGCCAGTTATGTCCTATGTTAGAATTAGTTACTATTATTGTGTGTGGTCATTTAATTCTCACATGCATTAATAACTTTATCAATAAGTTATTATTAATATTATTCTCAAAATAGGGGAGGCAATACCAGCAACTTATTTGAACTGGAAGACTTTAAAGAAAAAAATGTAATTCAAATAAGATTTCCACCAATTCTGTAAATCGTACAGAGTAGCCTAACTTTGCAGTTCTGGAGCAAGAACATCTTAGGGATATTTCTGTTGGTCCCCACCCAGTTCATACATTCAGCAAATGAGTATGCTGAGCATGAGGTGTGCTGGGAACCAGAATCCCTTTAGGCTTTACAAAGAGGCTCTTTTGGCCCTTGCTTGGTATTCTCTCAGAAAGAGACCCTTTCTCTCACCTCCTACCAATTTAAATGTTGAGAACATTCCTGTTGTCTTAAACATAAACCCCCAAGAAAAGCAGGAAAATATCTGACATTTACTTATTCACACTTCTGCTGCCTAGGTTAGAAGTTATGAATCTGATCCTGATGCTTGTTTTTGACTCACACAGAACCTAAAACATATTTAAGTTCATTACAACTAATTAAAAGCAAGAGATTTCACGTAAAAATCCAAATTTTTGCATTCTCTTGAAAAAAGCAGATCTTCGAATATAAGCCTGTCTGTCACATAGAGTGATGGGCTGGAGCTAAGTAGGAGGGTGTGGGCTTCTCTAGTTTGCCAAAGGCCTCACCACTCCATATTGTCTCTCATACTACAGCTGATTATAAATAGCCATTCATAATTACACCTGACTCTGTTCTTGGTTTCTACGCACTTAACTCACATTGCTTGTGCTTGGTTCCTCTAGATGTTTGGATTGTGATTCCTGATGTTCTAGGATTTTCCAAAAAATACATATTTGCATTTTAAGTGTTTTCTTAGTAGTTGTGGAATGGAAGTTTCTCTGCCGCTTTTAAAGGAGTTTTAGGCATCAACAAACTGGTCAAAATGTTTCTTCAACAGTTTTGAAGGCAATTCTGATTGTTAAATATGGAATGTTCTAGGGAGGGAGGATCAGACAAGTCATCTCTATGTCTCCTCTCTGTGTACCTAGCCAGGTTGCTCCAAGCTCCAGGAGGTAGAATGAGGGTCTGCAAGGCAGGATGGTCAGGTGGATGAAAACCGAAGCTCTTCATCCATGAACAGAGTTCTGGGCTGGGCTGTGGACCTGTTCAGACCATGCTGCTCATCAAGGCTTCCCCTTCCTCTTCTCCCAAGTCTACCCTGCTAGGCTGGCTTCTGCTTAGTGTGACTCCTGCTTTCTGATTCAGCCCCAAGCCTTCCAGGCACTGATTTTATGTTTACTGGAACCTTATTTTACTCAGTATAAAACTATTTTTCTCTGGAATATACCTCTAGGCCTTCTTTATGAGTTATATTACATTTCTGAATATTCTGTCCCAAACAACAGCAGAATCACTAAATTGTGTGCTTCCTGTCGGTAGAGGCTTTGAGCCTGGGATGAGGGAGTAAAGAATTTCTGAAGCCCGCTGCGCTACCTATTACACAAAGATAAGGAAAACCATGAGTTATAAGTGGCAGCTTCCTTCTGGGATCCTGAAGCTATGAAAGTTCACCCCAATTGAAAGCTCTACCCTGAGACTTTGCAGCAGTTCCACCACAATCATTGAAAACCATCACCTTTGAAAGCAGAGCAGATTTCCCTGTGAGCCCAGCACCAGTTCCCTTGGTTTCTTAATAGCTATGGATGAAGAGTAGCTGTATTGAAGAGGAAAGGGTCAGGGGAAGGCTACAGGGAGATAGAAAGTAAAGGACCCTGGGGAAGCAGCAGAGGAGCAGAGCTACAAATTAGAGGAAACCGTGAAGGTTCTCTGAAGGTTCCTATTGAGACGCCATCCACCTGTTCACCCACCCGCTAGGCGCATGCATGTGAGACAGGAGGAAGGAAGACTGGTTCTCACCATGGTGCTCGGGCCTCCCAGAAGCGACAGCAGCACGGGCGACAAAGTGTGAGGAGTCGGCTACCTCCTCTTGAGAGGGGTTTCTACTCAGGAGGATGGCATGGGCCTGGCACCACAGAAAAAAGAAACAAGTTATTTATATGCTTGGCATTTACAACAGAAAACTAACTGTCCTTACAATGATTAGCAGAAAGTCAAGGAACTTTCCAGCAAGTTGAAAGCAGTGATTGATGTGGAAGCACAATTGACTCTTGGGAGGGCTGGGTTTTAAAAGCACTGAGTGGTTGAGAGAACGCTATTCTGGGGCCTGTCACTAAGTAAACCATTAAAAAGTCTACGATCATTTGAGTCAGCAAAGAGGATCGGGGGCAGGGTGGTCAAGAAGTAAAAAGCATCAGTGCTGTGCGGAGGCAGTGGGCAAGCCCAGCTCCTGGCCTATTGGTCAGCYTAGAAAGTGGAACCTACTCATAGGTGATGATATGTGCGTAATCCACCAAGCCTGTGGGTCTGTACCCTCTGCAAACTGGCATATGGGAGCTGCCTGAGATTGGAAAACAGGTTCTTTGGAAATAAAGTCCATTTTAAAATTAAACACATACATACACACACACACACACACACACACACACACACACATACACAACCCGGTGAACACTAAAGAATAATAATTTTTTCAAGTAAAATACATAACACATCCCTTTGAATAAAAAAATTACCTCTCATCTCCTTGTTAATACTTAGTTTAAAAAATTCTATTAGTAATAGTTTCACATTCATCCAATGAATTGACATTTACAGTTTCCTACAACGGGAGAGGCATGGGCGAGAAGGTATTGGCAGCTACAGAAAACTGAAATGAAACGTGGTGAAGTAATACAATAAACTAATGTGAGGCGATAGGGAGTTTGCAATTAATTGCCAAAAGAGTAACAGAAAGACTAAAATGCCATAGGTTTAAAAGAGGGAAACACTAAATTGGGGTAGGCAAATTGTACTAGCAACAACTAAGATTTAAGCAGCACTTTAATTCTTTTGTGTGATACCACTTTTAATTTTCTTGATAATTTTTATGAGCCTCATTTTCTAGATGAGAAAACTGAGATTGCTGAATGGGTGAGGGCTATTGTTTGGATCTAGAATTCCTCAAAGGGCCCTATGTATTAAAGGCTCAGTCCCCAGGCTGGCACTACTAGACGTGGTAGAAACCTTTAAGAGGTGGGGCCTAGTGAGGCATGTCCCTGAAGGGAACTGTGGGACTCCACTCTCTTCTTCTTCCCCTCTTTTGGTTTTTTAGCTCCTATAACGTGACCAACTTTGTTCTGCAATGAACTCCCTACCATGATGTGCTACAGACCCCCCAAAACAGGGCCAACCCATCATGGACTGAAATATCCAAAACTATGAGCTAAAATAAACCTTTCCTCCTTTTAAGTTGATGTATAACCATAACATTACTATAGCAATGGGAAGCTAATACAGTAAATGACCAAGATTTCTCCCTATAGTTAATAAGGAATGGAGATGAGGTTCTGACCTTGATAATCTGATTTCAAATTCTGCTTTCAATACCATGTCCTGAATGCTGCCATTCATCCCTCCAACCCATGGTGATATCAGCACACTCCTAGGAGCACACTGATTCAGCCTCCAGAAGCTACAATGAATTCATGGAGCTGGTGTAGGAGATAAAGTCATTTCAGTAGAGCCTTCTATTCTCCACCAAGCAGCATTTTCTCCTCTGATGGCCAGCTGAGTGCAGTTCTGAAACTATAATCAGGGTGGAGTATTGTCACGTGTTAAAATCTGGGTGGCTAGCTCTGCGCTTTTGGTGAAGGGGCTATTCCAAATCAAGATTGCTGGCCATAACTTTTACTGCAACATCAGAACAGTAAACATTCTTTATTCATAAATGCTAACAATATCCTTTGCTTTGAAATGACTATATATATATATATATATATATATATATATATATATATGTATATATATATATATATGATTTTTAGCAAGTGCACATTAGTCACTGTCCTTGCTTTTCAAATAATGAGTACTTCAAAATACAACTTCATGAATGCACAGATTATAGGAGCCAACCAAGAGTTAAATTGCCATATGCTTAGTGTTTGGAGAAGGGGAAAAAGAGTGACACATCCCTCCCCTTATAAAACCTCCCAACTGCACGCTGAGTGGTGTTTATTTTGCATTTCTCCCTTGATTGTCCATCTCTACGATCCACTATTTGAGAAGAACAACCACTCTGCCAGGGAAGTCTTTCCTCAGACTGTCACAAAGACTCAACATATACTATTTTAGTTTAAGCTTAAATCCAAAAAAGATTTCTCCTTTGTTTCTGCTCAATATTATAATTCAAGGAAATGTAATACATATATGACTATCAAAATTATTTTCAAATGAATAATTACATGTTCTGGAAGTATCATGAATGGCATTTTGCCTTGGAGACAAAAAGTGACACTTTTCTGACAGAAAAAAAAGATAAAAATAAAAAAATTAAAAGCCAATGATATTAAAAAAGTGGKTTCCAAAGGCTCAAGGGAATCTGAATTTATCACAAAATTTTCATGACCTCAATGTTGCTCTATGTGAGATGCTAATACTTTATTAATAAGCATTTATTATTTATTTCAGAAACTCATTTCTCTGATCTAATTTATATTTGATGTTCATGAAGATTTTAAAAACAACATGCAAGAGAGAAAGGGAACATCCAGGATATTTCAAATGTGCCAAATTAGTATCTTACTTATTCAGCAAAATTCCATTCAATTCAGTTTATTTTAATTCATTCCTGTTTGATTCATTTTTTTCATTTTTAAGTGCCTTCAATTTGCCAAATATTGCACAAATACTAGAAATTCACACACACATACACACACACACAAATCAGGAAAATCAGGCAGGAATTTTGGGTTTAAAGGAGATCAAAGATGAACTACAAAAATGTGGGATAGTTTCATTTTTACATAGATATACAGACATTGCCCTGCACTAGGTTTAAGTGCCTGGCTCACTAACTTCCTCTTTACCCTAACTCTGCTGTTACCATTTCCAGTGATTTCAGTATCCATTCGATCAGCCCGTGCCCATCAGGCAAGAAAGATGACACATGCAAACAGGTGAAAAGTGGTCAATAAAACGATTCTTTCCATAGATGAAGCCCAATGATGAGAGTTCAGGACCTCAGGGCAAAGTGCTTTAACACCCTTGGCCAGATGAGCAAGACTAGGAACATTTGCTCTAATTGGAAAGATGATGTAGGGAAGTGAGCAGTGGCTTTCAGTAGGGATACAGGCAGYGAGTCTCCATGGAGGAGCTGGGGGGATGAAAACCCTGTCTCCACTCCCTTTCCATGGTCTGCAGTTCATGTTGTGTGGCTTTCAGAAGAGGCCAAGGGCATAAATCTGGGACTTAAAGTCAGCATCTGGGGCACATAGCAGGGCTGAGAAGCAAGCAGAGTGGAGCTGAAGAAGCAAACTAAAGTCCCAGCTAACAACGTGGCCTCTTGGGTTTTTGGCAGACTCATTTTCCTCTGTATGCTCAGATACCCAGCATCCGGGTCACACTCCTGGCCTTAGTGACTACTAGTTTCTACCTCTGCATCCATATTTTGTACAGGAGCCCTGGCTCTATTATGTCCATGTAGCTTCTAGTCTTCTCTCTACCCACTTGCCATGCTCTCACTAGCCATTCAAACTCCCTGGTTTCCCTTCCTTTTCCTGCTTGTCCAGCTTGGAGTGCACTGACCATTGTCTATATGAAAAATGCCTTCAGTTGCAATGAAGAATATTGAGATGGTGAAAATGGGAAACCATCTAACTACCCATCAGCARGGGAACAAATATATCACGGTTCATTCATACAACAGTTGAACTCTATATATCAACCTGGTTACATTTCAAAAACATACCAACAAGTAGAAAAAGTGACTTGCAAAAGGATGCAGATGTCAAGGCACTGCTGATTTTCAAGTTTCTTTTTTGAAGCAGAAGGGCCCCTCTMATTCCAAACCAAATCTTCCATGGTTCTCTAATACACACAGAAGGTGAGAACAGAGCTCCTCTTCCTGAAGCAAGGAGAGGGTGTCTGGAAGTGCACCTACTCCCACACAGCTGCCCCAGAAGAAGCTCYGTGGAACATGAGGGCTCCAGGAGACACAGACTGGGAACCACTCTGGGCAGTGAGGCCCTTAGGGAGTGAGTGTGAAGGATGTTGACAGGGTTGGTGATTAGATTATACAATCTTGCCAAACTTAGCCACTGTTCACAATTTCAGAACATGCTTTATTTGCTGAGAGAATAAATAAATAAATACCCCTGTTAGATGCATCTGAGAGCATTTAAGGAGTAGGAATCATAGTGAACAGGATGGTAAGAACCCTGCTTGCCTCTCTTGGCTTTCAGAGAGCCTAAATAACGGGTCCTCCTGGGGCTCGGCAGCTGGATGGCACTCACTCCTTCACCACAGCATTTATTAATCTCCCTAGGGCTCTGGTTTCTCCTCATGTCCTTTGTTATTTTCAATATTTTATGGTTATGTGATTATCAACTGTCATCTTGAAGTGGAGGAAGAATGCTTAGTATTCCCAAATCTCTTGGGTTGCTGCATGTTGGACTGGGTTAAAAAACAAACAAACAAATAAAATCCGCTTAATATACACATTGAACAAGGTCATTAACTGAAAAAGGTCACTCACAAGACCAGCTACCCAACCCTTGCCAAGGGACACAGCAGCTGTTTCTTCTGCTGCCTTGTGTGCATTGCTGGGGGAACCCTSGGTTCCTTCATGCAAATCCAGCTGTCAATAACTGCAGCCAGAGCCAGAGCTGGCAAATTCTTATCTAACTGGGCCTGTCTCCTTGGATTTGTAAAACATGCAATATTTCTTGAGGAGAAAGCTTGATGATAGTAAAAAGGATGAGGAAGTATATCTGTTTATGMAGGCAGATCCCAGCATGTGAACACTCAATACCCTGAGTGTGCAATCCTAGCTCTCAGGGAAAGGGTGTGTTGGAGGAGGGGAATCAATTTCTCCCAACCTGGCAATGATTCGGGGATTGCTGACTGGGAGGACATCTCCTCTCCTAT